GTACCTGTATGTGACCCCCTGCTCCTGTACCTGTATGTGACAGCTTGCAGTGCCCGGCAGTAGCAGCTGGCCAGCCAGAGGGATCGGTCAGTCAGGATGTTGGGACAATGGGAGATCCGCAGGATCAGCAGGTTTCCTCCTGTGGCTTTTAGAAGAGCTTCCAGTCCAGCTTCCAGGCAGCCCCTAGAGATCAGAACACAGACACACCAACAGAGGATCATTATGACTGGTCATACTAGTCCGTATCTCCCCGGGGATAGGATGACCTTATCTGTTTAAAATATAACCCCAGCCTAAACCTATTTTTGATAGAGTAAGGAAAACATAGAGCTCCTCTCAGGTCCATGTTAAAGTCTGAGTTCCCTCTTACTTCCTGTCCCAGTGACAACACTGTCAACCCAGATAGAAAGTAAGGAGAAATCCCCATTGGGGACACAGTACCTCAATTAGTATTCTGCAGTTGTCTACAGCAGTAAACGAGGATGAATTATTATCTGGTATTCTTGCTTTCGTCTAAAGCCAGCCTGGGGGACTAAGTATCAGCCAACCAAACCTCCACTACGAGACCCCTAGTGGGTGGATCTAAGTGCTGGCATCTTCAGCGGGGGAGTGGCTGTCATGAGAGGGGTGGGGCTCGATTTTGGCTTTCCCCAAACTCAAAAGTCATACTTGCAGCAGGGTATCTTATGAACCACACTGGCCTTGTATGAAAAACAAATCAAATGGTTCAGGGAAGCTACAGGCTTTAGTGCCGCCCTAGGAAATCATTGGGCCCCATACAGCCTACCTGATAGACCCCACCACCCCTTCCCCTGTGTCTTCCACCCATGTCTCATCAGATCCTCAGAGGCGTGCATCAAGCATAAAGGCTTGTGGCTATCCCAACGCTTCTGTTCACACATACCAGCAATCCTTGCCCGGGGCCCAAACCCAGACCCAGAGATAAAACATGTGGCACTTCTCCAGCCTCCCGCAGATAATGAAGAGTGTGCCGCCTTCTGCAGTCCCACCCCCATAATGCCCCTGACGTTGTGCTGCGACTCTCCAATAGGATCGTTCACAGCACGTTCCTCCCTCTCTCCTCCACCGACAACTGATCGCGGAGGGGTGGCGGAGATATCCTGGGGGGGGGGGTGTTTTGGCAGGATTGTTCTCTTGCACTCTGCTGGAATGGCTCTGTACCGGGGGCCACCCACAGGCAGCCCCTGCTGTGTCTGGGCCACCTTGCTGACCCCGATGGGGCTCAGGCCCATTTCAGGAATAGTATCTGTGACCCCCCTATCAGTGGCCCTGACAGGCTTCAAGGGGAACTGCAGTGCCTCAGCGAAAAGCAAAGTCTTGCTGTTCCATATTTTTATCATTTTAATTACACCTGTAGCTTTAAACAATCCCACGATCTGCATATCAAACAAATGCAATCAGTACCCCTGCTGAACACTGCTGAGATAAAGCCATTTACATGTACAGACTGAGAATAAAAAAAAAGCTACTTTTATTGTATTATACCCCTTATTATTACAATCCTGTGAACACCAGCTGAAATTCCCAGTGAAGCCAGCAGTGCAGCTGAAGCGCAGTCATATTGCAGGCACTGAGTACCAGGATGGGGGGTGTTCTGACACAGTCGGCTTTCTTGCACAGGTCGGCATATCTGAGACACTATGGGGAAGCGGGGGAAAGGGGGGGCTCACCTTGTGCTTTTCATGTACTCCTCTTTGGTCTCTTTCTTCCCCCTCTGGCGAGGTTTGAGGTTCTGCAGTGTCAGGGAGTGAGTCTGTGTGCACCACTGAGAGAGGGTGAGCAGAAACTACGGGAAGAAGAGCAGGAAGACGTCAGAGGACATACAGACTGTGCTGCCTCCAGCAATGCAACTGCGGTGGTGTTTATTGTCTGTGTATTGTCACTGATTGTTGTGCTGCCACCTTGTGGTCAATGTGTTTACTGCACTCTACATAACCAATCATAGCATCTGAGGGGCGTGCTGAGGGGTGTTGTAGTGTTTTATAATGCTTCAGTGGACACTCCCTCAATATTATTATTACATATTATTATTACATTGTATTTATAATATAAATCATTCTAACTATATCAGAATTTCCGGTTTGCCATGTGTTACACTACAACAACCAAGGTGGTATTGAAATGAGTGAAATCGTGATTTGATAGAAACCAAACATTATAACACACACTATATCGCCAAA